TATCATAATGTGTTATAAGATCCAATTATATTACAATTCACTATCTCTAACTTATCATTATTAATATTTACATTTTACAGAAGGAACATGTCGATCAAAAGTTTTTTTCTAAAAAAGGAACAGAACACGTTTTAATTGTAAAATTAGATAACACTCAATATTATTATCTATAATTACTCTAGTTTAAACAACTCACTCAAATAATAATACTACTAATAATAATAATAGTAGTATTAGTAATAGTGTTAGTAGTAGTAGTATATCAAGGAAGTAGTATATTTGTGATAATTTTTCAATCAAAATATTCAATGATCAATGGCTAAAATTAAAATAATTTTTATCTCTGTAACAATTGAAACAAAATAGAAAGAAAAAAAAACGAAAAAAGAAAAGAGAAATCATAGCAATAACATTCATTTATTTCAGAGGTGGGGGGGAGGAATAAAAAAAGAAGGGAAAAAAAGTCACTCTGTCATAAATGAAAAAGATCAGCAGAGTGATAAATGTTCAATTATTCATTTTTTTAATTTAATGAAAGAACTCAGATGGACAGTAACAATATTAGAAATAATGATAATAATAATAATAATAATAATAATAATAATAATAATAATAATAATAATAATATATAAAAAGGGAAGATAATGTTAACTATGTAACTGTAGAAAAGATAGATTCGGTCAATTCAATGAATATTCATATAAAATTCTTTGAAAAAAGGCCTATTAACATAGTTTGTAGGTTAGATTCGTTATAGACTAATTTCAATTTAAGTACAATTGGAAATTAAAAAGTGCTGGGTAGCTGCTTTGTTCTGACCTTCCAACAATGCACACCCACAACTCCCTCCCAAGGAATTGAATCAACGATATTTATTATTTATTTATTTATTTAAACACATAAATATTGGTATAAGAAGGCATCAAATAGATATGTGCCACATAAATAATTCGATTTGTGTAAATGCTTGGATACGGTCAGAATGCTCAAACTGAGGCAGCTGGTTTTCTTAGGAGGCCACTACCCGAGCCTTTGACCTGGAGGTCTAATCCACAAGACAGTAGAGCAACTTAAGGAGATGCAGTCCCATGGTAGCCGGTGACCAACCATTGGTTCATACGCCATTTGTTCCCTTAGGATCCTGGAGCCCATGTGAACCATTGGTTTGAAATCAGGGTTTTCCGATTCCCCTAGGTGAATCCTCCATATCCGCCAACCCGATTAAAACACCGAGCATTCACTTTTCGTCCTTTTGATTTCGTAGACAGCAGCCCTGCTGTGAAAAGTCAGTGAGTAAGACTTCCCTGGCAGCGACTTTAGTCGCGTGACCATGTGAGAGCATTTCGAAAAGGAGAGCTGACTCTCCCCACCCTCGGCCGTACCAGGGCATTTAGGAGCTATAATCACTTTGACTTTATTCTACCAATTGTTTAGTGAATCATTCGATATTTTCATAATTACTCGCGAAATGTTGGTACTACTTAATTGCTGTTCCCCACTTGAGTTCCCGTTCAATACATTTGGTGTCGCTGCCAAAGAGGAAGCGGGTAAGGTGCATTTTTGCGGACACCGTTGCAAGATACTTAGTTGGGGCAATCTGGTCCAGGAAGAAGACATCGAGTGGAGTGTTCTGACAAGGCGATATTGGGCGTAACAGTCGCTCTCGATGGGGGGAGGATGTGGGACGTCACGAGTACTGAGCGGACATCAGAGATAAACATAAGTATAAGTAATATGTAGCACCAATCAGAAGTGAACTGCCTGGCAGCAGAAGATTGAAATGAAAGGAACAAGAAGGAAACCGGAGAGTAATCGAAATAACAACAGAATTGTAGGAATAATGGTGTATATAAAAGACAGTACAAAGATATGCAAATGATGTATTTAGTGCATGATTTTCATATTTTAACTCGATAAATAAAAACGTTAACCGGAATGTAGGTGATCTATCAAATCTCAATCCAGTTTATGTTTTAAATGATCGTTAACTATATATATTTCTATATTAAATAATCTGTATATAAGTATGTTATTCGGATATGTACAATAACTCATGTTAGTTGTCAAGTTATTCTACTTTTAGATATCCGTTTATAAAGGGATATTTGATCAATGAATCCAAATTTTTGTAACTATTTATTACTCGGGTAAAATCAGTTAAAATGATTAGTCAGGTATTCATGATACATACAAATTCAGTTATTACATTTTATTAATATAGCGATTATCATAATAATTCGAACGTAACTAATACTTCCAGAATAAAAACAATTCTCCATTTATCATTGTCAACAGAGTAAACTACATTTCGTATCACCTTTTGCCAAGTGCATTTGATTCCATTAGTATTATATATACATATATACAAGTATTTTGTTCAATAAAAAAAAAGGAAAATCGTTTTTGATATTGATTACGGACATAGTTAGTCGAAACATAACATCAAATGAAGGATTAATCGAGGCATTTCTTCTCTGCTTAGTGCTTATTAGTATTGCCCATTCTCAATATTACAACGGTTTTAACCTAGGACTGCTTTCAATACCTTTAAACCCCTCAGTTAGAATTCAATCCTCAATATTTGATAGTAATAGTATAGTTTTAACTCAATATTATCAAACTTGTAGAATTCTATTCTATAGTTTTTTTTACAGAGGAGACAAAATAATTTCTCACTGATAATTTGTTCAGCGGTAGGATATTTAGTTATGAGCTGTTATCTCTGAATGGCATTCTATCAATGCATTCAAATGAGGCGTATCATTCCTATTAAAATTCTAGATACACTTTGTCAATTGAAACGTTGACGAAAGTAAACAGAAGCCATGATCAACCAATTGGAATGAAAATAATTGTTTTTTTAACTGAGATAATGAACCGATTGATGTTAGACCACCGTTGGAAACCTGAAAGCATTGTATGACCGTTTCGTCCTATTCTGGGATTCCTCAGCAATGCGCATTCAGGATCCCGCTCACGAGATTCGAAACCATGGCCTTTAGTCTCGCTCGAGAACGCTCAACCTACTGGACCACTGAGCCGGCATTCAATGGTGTTAATGTCTAACATTAACCAATCCACGAAATTGAACGACACATCCACCATTATCTTCAATGACTTACTTCCAGGTCTCCAACGGTGGTCTAACATCAATCGGTTCATGATCTCAATCAAAAACTTAATAATCTTCACAACCCTATACAGATAATTGTTTTTTTTAAAATAACTGAGAGATAATCAATACGATTTCAATAATTGACGGAGAAAGGAATAATTTTACTGAAGGATTCTTTGTATACCAGCATATGATTACTGAAAATATTATGTATTACTTAACTTGATACTGTAATGTAACTGTCATCTTTAATAAAAGACAGAACATACCATTACGTTCCTATGAGCACTCTTGAACAATGTAAAATTTCTATACAGTGTGAAAACAAGTATACATATGTGTATATATATATAATGATCAAAGGTAAATTAACCGTTAAAGGATAGTAAACTTGCATAATGTTGCTGAATGAAGTATGGTAGTTAAGAGAGAAAAAAACAACTTAACACATAAAAACAAGATTATAAAATGACGGATTACCTACAATAAAAACAAAAAGAAACAACAATTTTCAAAACATTACAAAAAAAAATAGATAATCAACACAACAACAACAACGGCAACAACAAGGGGGGGTAGAATAAAGTAAGCATAGAATAAAAATGATGGGTCATTACATTTTGATAAATATATAAACAACTAACAATGTGTTGTTAAAAGATGAAAAAAGGAAAAATGATAAATTTAATCATTCTCAAGATGATGAAATAGCAAAAATAGGCAAACAAATCAATGAAAATGAATTACTAGTTAATTGATCTAGTCAAAATGTTAATCATTTCGTACGAGATGAGCAATACTGAGGAGTCTCATACTAGGAAGAAACGGCCGTTCAGTGATTTCAGGTCTTTAATGGTGATCTAGCTTAGTTCGATTTATGAATTTAACTATTAAAATTATTACCGATTTCTATAAATCACCATTCTGATAATAATCATGTACTAACTAGTAATTAGCTTTAGTAAGAAGCCGTAACCACTGGAATCCAGTCCGTGTCGGGTAGAAAAAATTATCCACGTCAGACAACAGATGAAGGATTGCGCAATATCATGGACTAATTGGAGTTGGACATTAACTCCGTTGGGTGCTGGCTCGGTGGTCTAGAAGTTAGGCGTTCGCACAATAGACCAAAGGGCTTGAATTCACGTCCTACACGCGGCCTCGTAGATGAGCACTCCGGAGGAGTATTACATTTGGACAAGACAGCCGCCTAGTACTCCGGCGATTTCCATGGCGCTCTAGTTTAGACTGACTCATGAATTCAACTAATAAAATTTCATACGTATTTAAAATATGATAACCCTTGTGATAACACTTAACAATGAATAAAAATAAGCCTTTGATTTGATAGAAGACAGGCTAAAGATCTTTTATGTACTAAGTCAGCATTTGTTAAACTTAAGGTTAATTTAAAATAAACAAGGAGAATTAGTTTTTTCTTATGATTCTTAATAAGTCTATATTGGAATATTAATTAAAACTATGAAATTATTAGTACATTTCGTATAGTTATTATTTGTCATTCTAATTCTTGAATCGGTGGTATTACGATGTATGGCAATAAAATGCTATTTTGTACAATACACTACAGTGATACGATTAATTATCCTATCCATATTTAGTTACCGATCAAAGATGACTCACAATGAATGTTCTATAACACTAAAAACTGGAAACCAATGTAATATTTGAAATACGTGAATAAAATTGATGTGATATCATTGTTTTCAATTCAGTCGTTGATATTATCATCTGGGCATCTAGGGCTGAATAAATTTGTGAATAATTTTACACTACTCAAAAGTAGTTACATATTTACTTTGAAAGAAACCAACTTTCATAAGCTTCATGGTAGTAAGTAAAATTAATAAAAAATAAAACTTACCAGTTCCAGTTGGAGTAACACGATTAACTAATCCAAAATCCAAAGCTTCATTGGCATGCAATTCACGTCCAGTTAGTATCATGTCAAGAGAACGAGACAAACCTATTAATCCTGGTAAACGTATTGTACCCATATTCATCATTGGTATACCTGATTTTGGAATGTTAAAACAATTTACATATTTGTATCAATAAAATAAATAAAGACTTGAAAGTTCTGCTCTTTTTTATCATGAAAAACGATTCTTATGGAGATTGGAATGTCAAATATCACCCATACGGAAGATGTGATTCATATCGTACTAGTAAATGAGCATATAATCAACAATTTACATTTTCACAATACTTTGTGAAGTTTCACATATTCCGAGTTTCTTTTCATCATAAAATTAATGGAAATGTATAGATTTACAATAAATTCGAGATGTTTGTTATTCACTTATAATTCAAGCAGATCGTAAGTGATTAGATTATTTTTTCTTATGCGGGTTACATATATACATCTTTGTTACTTACTTACGCCTATTACTACCAATAAAGCATAGGCCGCCGACCAGCATTCTCTAACTCCGCCTGGAGCTCCTCTGGGGCTGCTGCTGGTCCCGAGCCCGGATAATGGAGGAAGGTTGGACATGGAGTTAGTGACCCTAACCCTTAGAAAACTAACTCGCTAAAAAAACGCTAACCAGAAAACATAATTCAAACCATGTATCTTTGTTAACTGCCTTCTAAATAACTACGAGGTATTACGAATAAGTTGCCATTTACGAATGAAGATATTTTAATTTGTTTCAAAACTGACAACAGAATATTTTATCAGGAATTTTAAAGCAGTAGTAGCCTACTGGTTAAAAGACTCCATCTACAACTACAGGGTAGAATTTTCCATCTGTGTACAGACTGGTTGAATCTGGTTGATCGACTAGTACCACCATGTTATAACTTGTGGCCTGTGTCCTTATCAATGTATATGGTAATGGCACCACCAATTGGAGAACAGTAATTTATCGACCGAATCAATGACGCATAAAACCTGGACGACCAGTCTAGATTCCTTATCGGTCCCGCTTCTCACCTAGCCCAGCCAGTTAAGTCCAGAACATCAATCTCAGCCTCTGCGATATGAATCATTTCTTTCAAACATACTGGGTTTATATACCAACCAAACAGACCACATCGTACCATAAATTAGGAAACAACACTTGTACAAGATTTAGCCAAAAGTGGCTGTGAATGTGGGAGATAGTAATTGACAGACTGGGCATAACTCGAGAATGGTAAATCGTATAATAATAGTTCATAGGTCAAAATATAACTTATAATAATAGGAACATGAATATGAATAGCTTAGCTACATTTGAACCCAGGACCTTTCAGTCTCGCGCGCGAGCGCTTAACCATTAGCCCACTGAGCCAGCCGGCATCCAACGGTGTTAATGTCTAACTTCAACCAATCCACGAAGTTGCGCCACTGTACACCATTGTCTTCACTGCTGAGGAGTCCCATACTAGGACGAAACGGCCGTCCAGTGCTTCCAGGTTTTCTATGGTGGTCTAACTTTAACTGACTCATGATTTTAACTACTGAAATATGACAAGTCATCTGAATTCGCAAAATAATCATAAATGAATCTATGCTGTTAAAATTTATCTATGAAATTTGTTTCAAGGAAATATTTTACACAAAATCAGAAAAATGCATTATGACGCTATAAATCTAAATAAAATTTGCTAATAATCTCAGGATATGATACAGAGCATGAAGTCAATACACTGAAGTCCTTCAAGGGAATTAATAAACAATTAAACTTCAACCTTTTGAAATTTACCGAAAAGATAACAATTAAACGTTTAATATCAGATCTATGTACCCAAAAACAGGCAGTAATAAATCTTTCTTTGCCCTGGTAACATTGACCACCCCTCCCCTTTTTATTTATTACGTCATTCACTATTGCAACTCTTTCTGAATTTTTTAAAATTACATCATTCATAACTGACCGATTTCAATTCCTATCTTTATTACCATTAATCTATTTTCAGTTACTTCATTACATAATCATCAACTCCATGAGTTCTTGTTAGGGTATTCAGTAAAATATCCCAAAAATTATCCTGTTAAGTCTAATGCTATCCTTGGACTTGAAATGGTATCATTTTCCTATTGGTCAATACTGATTTCACGTGTCGTTTCCCTACTGGCCAATATTTATTTCACGTATCATTTTCCCGTTGGCCAAATATTGTACAAATGTTATTTTCTATTTTATGGTACGATGTGGTCTGTTTGGTTGGTATATAAACAGAGTATGTTTGAAATAAATGATTCAGGCTGAGACTTGTGTTCTGGACTTAACTGGTTGGGCTAGGCAGGAAGCAGGACCAATCAGAACTCTAAGCTGATCATACGGGTTTACGCGTCCTTGTTCCGATCGATAAGTCACTGCTCTCTAATTGGCGGTCACAAGTTATAACAGTTCTGATCATTATTTCAATGTTCTGGAACTTTCCCTCTCAAACTTTATTTATCCGAAACAAAACTTTTTATGACCTTCTTGAACTCTTTTGAAATCTTCACTACATCATGATATACACATATATTCATCTTTCATCACCCTCATATGTATAAGTATGTAGATATCTGTAATAACGTTGATTTGTGAATCTTATAGATTGTAAGTAATTGATGAGAACCTAACGAAATAAAATGAATTCATATTATTCTGCATGGAACTTCGTTCTTGCTCTCTTTAAGATAACAAATGTAACTATGTGTATGAAATCTTAGATTCACTGCTTTTGTCCGTTTGGAAAAGAATTATAGAAATGAAAGATCATTAAAAATTTTGAAATCCTACTTTGAATGTAAAACCTGTTATGGGTTTATGTCCGGCTTTTTATCATGTGATTTATCCACCAGTCAAAATACAACTTATACAATCTTAGCACTGTACCAAGCCAATGACTTTCGACCGGTCTAGCCTAGAGTCCTTATTGGTCCTATGTCCGCCTAGCCCGTCCACTAGAGTCCAGAACACCAATACCAGCTTCCACTATGCGATGCGAATCGAATCGAATCATTTATTTCAAACATACTGGGTTTGTATATCAAACAAAAAGATCGCAGCGCACCATAAAATAGGAAATAACATTTGTACACAATAAAGCCAAAAAGTGGCTGTGAACGAGGGGGACAGTAATTAATAGACTGAGTATAGCTTAAGAACCGTAAATCGTACAATAATAAGTTATAGGTCAAAATGAAGCTTATAATAAGAGGAACATAAATATACATAATTTAATTATTGAATAGTTATATCATAAGAATATATAGGTAATATTAGTCAATTAATATGTCTCAGAAGTTATTCGTGAATTAATCTTCGCCCGGATATAACAAAACCCCTGAATATTACGTTTCAAAGACTTTCGTACTGTCATGATGAAAGATGTTAAGGCAAATATTTAATATACTAACGGGCTAATAATTGTTAAGATGGTGACCTCGCTTTTTGTGCCAAATTAGAAAGTTAATGACAACTTTATTATTTATTTATTTGAACACATAAACACTGGTACAAGGGGGCACCAGATACAATGCGCTACACAAATTCCATTTGATTTGTATGAAGGCTGTAATACTGCCCGGGCGCCCAAACCGAAACAAGTGGTTTTCTTAAGGGGCCACACCCGGAGCATTTGACTTAAAGGTCTGATCCACAAGACAGTGGAGTAAAGTAAGGAGATGCAGTCCCATGGCAGCCAGTGACTAACGATTGGTTCATACGCCATTTGTTTCCTTAAGGTACTGGAGCCCATGTGCACCATTGGTTTGGAATCAGGGTTTTTCAACTCCCCTAGGTGGATTCCAACCCGGTTAAAGCACCGGATATTCGCGTTTCGCATTCACACATGACTCACAGGACTTAGCAAAGGGTTTATTTATTAGATCCTTAAATCGTTTATTATTGAGTATCTATGGTTTCACGAAAGACCTAAAAATAAATTAATCTTTCTCAAAATGAATAAGTCAGTGTAGAGGAAATATTCCGCTTTAAAATCCATGAAACTGATTATAAACCTTAGAAAAAATCATAAGTCACGTTACCCTTCTAGTAATAGGCCCCTGATTTTAAAGATCTATTTACTTTATGGATGACAATGGACATATAACTTTTATGGTCATTTCTGACGTTATTCAATGTCATAGGTAGATTAAAATTCTACCAACGTGACAGCTGCATTATTTCATACACAAAAATTCCTTTAACATCTTGAAGAAAGCAAGAACAAAGATCTGAGTTCATTACGCCACTTCTCTTAAATGAACTTAAAACTTCCTGGACTAGGAAATTAATACGTAAAATGAAAAGTGATGTTTCAGGACAATAAATTAAATTCTAAATTTGGAACTCACTATCAATTATTTTCAACTATATTAATCGAATCTTTAAACAACCTAAATAAGCCACAAATGATCTTAATAAGTAATTGTTAGAGATTTTAATAGGAAAAGTTCATAAGGTATGAGAATAAATAAACTGACTAATTTTCATTGGGTGTTGTTCCCTGAACTGGATTGTTTGGTCGTGGAGCTTTCATCGTTCTTCTGAACGATATTATCAGCACAAACTTCAGGTAGAAGTGGAGTGTTCGAATTTCTCCACATGTGTTTCACAGCTTGTCCTGTACACCTCGATGCTGGTTGTTTCTTGTTGACCTTAAACCTGTGATTGTTTACTTCTTTTTTTGGTTGTATCTCGCATTGGTTCGATTTTTGTTCCTATGTTTGCCCATAATTTTCCTGATTGGTTGATAAATTGGGTGGATTTCAATATGCTTGTTGATCGCTGATCGACCTGAGTGCCAAGCTTCTAAAAATTCTCTGGTGTTTTTGGAATTGCCTCTATCCAAAATTTCCACATTTTCCCAGTCGATTATGCGTCCGAACCCTTTACTCCTACCTGAAGTTTATAGTGATGATGTCGTTCAGAAGAACGATGAAAGCTTCACGACCAAACCATCCAGCTCAGAGAACAAAATCTTCATCAAAATCATCTACCTGAACTACAAATCTTCCTCATCATATCAAAACTGACTAATTAAATATTTAGTAAAAGACTAATAAAATTAAATTATGGACAGTATCAATTAAAACGACTTACAATGTTTTCGTTTATGTAAACTCAATATGGAATCGATCTCGGCAACACGTAGATCACATGCTAATGCTAGTTCTAAACCAGCACCGATAGCTTTCCCAGCAATTGCTGCAATAAGCGGCTTTGAAAATGTCAATTTAGTAGAATCCTAGAAAAGTAGAGTATAATAAACAAAATATTTTCCAAATTTAAATGTATAATTGTGCCATCTTTGATATTCGTTATAGACAATTAAACTTCTACTTAAAGTAAGTGTTGATGATGTTTAGAATCACGAAAACTTTTTACTGGTTGAAATCATGAGTCAATTGAAGCTAGACCACCCTGGAAAACCTGGAAGCACTGGACGGCCATTTCGTCGTAGTATAGGACTCTTCAGCAGTGCGCATCCACGATCCCGCACGCCATGAGATTCGAACCAATGCTTCCAGGTTTTCCATGGGAGTCTAGCTTCAATTGACTCATGATTTCAGCCAGCGAAATTTATAAAATCTCCACAAAACCCCTTCTGAAAACTTTTTAATTAAACTACTCAGTTTAGAGAGTGTAACATTACCAAAAATATCTAAATGAAGAATATATTTCTACCATTTCAACACCCATGATATAAATATCAAACAAACATGTGATAAATGAACATGTAGAAAGATCAACAACAACACTAACGATAATATGATGTACTGTGGTGTATGTTACTTATGTTGACAGATATAAGTAGTATGTGACACCAGTTAGAAGTGAAATGCATGGTGGCAGAAGACTAAAAAGATTCAATTGAAGAGAACAGAAAGTAATTGTAATAACAACAGAACTGACAGAGTCAGGAAGCACGTAAAGGACAACTGATGGAATGTGATTAATATATGTTTTTTTCATATTTTACGAAAGAACTCAGTAATTTTGCATTAAACAACAAAACCGGTCTTCGTCATTTTAGATCTCGTTTACTACAGTATTTTTCGATAATATATTCGTTATTTAAAGTAACAGAACATATTTAGCTGCTAAGCTGTTTATTTATTATTTATTTTAACACAGATATTGGTACAAGAGGGCACCAAATATGTATGCGCCACACTTTTGTGTGAGGGCTGTGATACTGCCCGGGTGCCCAAACAGAAGCAGGTGGTTTTCTTAGGGGGTCACACCCGGAGCCTTCGACCTGAAGGTTTGATCTACAAGGCAGTGGAGCAACGTAATGCAATCCAGTCCCATGGTAGCCGGTGACCAACCACTGGTTCATACGCCATTTCTTTCCTCAGGATACTGGAGCCCATGTGCACCATTGGTTTGGAATCAGGGTTTTCTGACTTCCCTAGGTGGACTCTCCATGTCCACCAACCCGGTTAAAGCGCCGGACATTCGCTTTTCGTCCTGTCGACTTCGCAAACAACACCCCCGCCACGAGAAGGCAGTGAGTAGGACTTCCCCGGCAAATGCCATATACGCGTGGCCATGTGAGAGCATTTCGAGAGGTAGAGCGGACTCTCCCCACTCTCGGCCGTACCAGGGCATTCGGGGGCTGTTAAGCTGTAGGTTTCTTAAGGTGTTTTATGAGGATAGTTAGATAGTATTAAACAACTGTTTCATTTTGTCTATATGTCTCTGGTTAGTTAGCAATCATTAGTAATGTATAAATATAATGATGAAGTAACTGATTCTGTCCTAGATCACAAAGTAAATGGAATAGTATTTCAAATCTGTAAATTAATGATAAGAAATTCTATGTTTCAGCAATTCAATAATGATATATTAGCCTCCAAATGCCTTGGTACGACCGACAGCGGAAAGAGTCAGCTCTCCTTCTGGAAATGCTCTCACATGGCCACGCGTATACAGCCACCCGTGAAGTATCCCAGCCCTCACACAAATTGAATGATTTATGTAGTGCATATGTATCTGGTACCTCCTTGTATTGATGTTTGTGTTTAAATATTAATATTATAAGAATAAATTTAAACTTGATCAACCTTTTAACTTAGAAAAACATACTAAACAAATTCATTTCAAACTAAATAACACATAACGGATAATCAGCGATTTCTATACGATTACATGTAACCTTTACAATCTGTAATTAATTTATCCACTTTAAGCCAGGTTGATTACATAACAACCACTTACTTTCAAACTAAATAATTTGTTTCAGATTTTCAACATTGTACATTGCAATCACAAACTATTAATTCATAACTCAGTTTTAAATTCTAACAAAGACTTGTTATTCAAATACATAAATACTTATTTAAATTACTTACGCCTGTTACTCCTCATGAAGGAGCACAGGTCGCTCACCAGCATTCTCCATTTAAACCTGTCCTTGGTAATCCTTTCCAGTTGTTATTAACCTTCTTCATACCTGCTTCTATTTTCCGACGTAATGTGTTCTTTGGCCTTCCACTTTTCCACTTCCCTTCAGGATTCCAAGTCAGAGCTTGACTCGTAATGCAGTTTGATGATTTGCGTAATGTATGTCCTATCCACCAACTCCATCGTATTTTCCTAATTTCCTCTTCAACTGGAAGCTGATTTGTTCTCTCCTATAGTAGGCTGTTACTGATTGTGTCCGGCCAATGGATGTTGAGTATCTTGCGTAAACAACTATTTATAAATACTTGTACCTTCTTGATGATGGTTGTAGTAATTCTCCAAGTTTCAGCTCCGTACAGTAGAACTGCCTTGATGTTCGTATTGGAGACCCTAATTTTGATATTGGTTGAAAGTTGTTTGGAGTCCCATATGTTCTTCAGTTATAGGAATGCGGCCCTTGTTTTTCCAATCCTCGCCTTTACGTCCGCATCTAACCCTCCTTGTTCATCGATGATGCTTCCCAGGTATGTGAAGGATTCTACATCTTCAGAGTTTCGCCATCAAGAGTGATTGGATTGCTGTTCTCTGTTTTGAATTTGAGGACCTTGGTTTTCCCCTTGTGTATGCTGAGGCCTACTGATGCAGAGCCTGCTGCTACACTGGCTGTCTTTATCTGCATTTGTTCGTGTGTGTGGGATAGGAGGGCTAGGTCATCTGCGAAGTCCAAATCATCTAACTGTTTCTGAGCTGTCCGTTATACTCTGTGTTTTCCCTCAGATGTTGAGGTCTTCACAATCCAGTCGACCACCAGAGGGCCCGTGATCGTTGGCCGGCACTCCCACATTGCAACAACCAGTTGCCACGCTCTTAACTCCGCCTGTAGCTCTTCTAGAGTTATTGCCGGTCCCAAGCCCGGCTAACGGAGGAGGGTTGGGCATGGGGTTAGCGACCCCATTCAGTAAAAAACCAACTCGCTAAAAAAACGCTAACTATTCAAACAAGAATAAGAAAATAAGTATACACAAAAATGAATACAATAAATATAACATACTATAGATAAACATGAATAAAGTCTATTCAATGATGTATTATCACAAGTTGGATTTTGTTTTATATAATCCGTTAATTCTTCCATATCCAAACCCAAACAAAAATCTTTTCCTTCACCATATAATACACCACCAATAATATTATCATCTTTATCAAATTGGTTGTATAATATATCATTTAACATTGAAGCAGTTGTTTGATTTATTAAATTACCTTTCTCTGGTCTATTTAAACCGATAAGTAAAAAACGTCCAATTTTTTGTGTTAAGACGCATAGATTTGAATTCATTGACATCTAGATAAGTGAAAAATAAACAGTAATATAAGACAAGCGGACAGTTGTGAGACACTAAACTAAGATAATTCATCATAGTAGTTAATTAAAAGACAGTTTTCATTATGAATCAATGCTAGTTGTAGAATGATTGGGAAATCGTGAACATTGGACACCTGTTTTTGTGTTATTTTATCACTTCCCAACAGTATGTACTTATGACCTTACGCAAGATTGAATACAGTATTTTCGGGACTTATAAAAAAACAGGGTATGTTTATGCCGTTGGGTAGGAATCCAGTGGCCGACAATTTTAACTTCAGTCAATAAAGCCTGATCCTTATATAAAGTCATTAGCGATTCGTGGTTGGAAGAAAGTTAGGGGCGACCAAACCAAAACGTGGCATCAGTGCTTGAAGTCACTAACTTCTAGTCTGAGCCATGTTGGTAGATGCAGACTACTTGTTTGGGGTCCGCGTGACTATCGTAACCAATGGTTGGAGACTCTTGGTGACATGGCTCAGAATCGATCACAATGGCGTAGGTGCAGAAACTCTCTGTCTTCCCTTAAACTATGAAATTAAAATCCTTTCATATCTTTCTTTCTACCCACTAATTTTTTCTTCCAGTACTATGTCCTTATATGCAATCTTTCTTTTATATATTACCACCACTGAATTAACTACTATGAATCCGGTGTTCATCTTGCTGTGCGAATGAGGTATGAGAACTTGAACCGATGCATATATGTGCCTAGTCCTACGCTGTAACTGACTAACTGATTGAACATGAAAAATCAATAAAAGTAACACTACAAAGTTGTTTAGTGATGGTTGTCGGAATTCGACAGTGATCAAATATGATCTTCTGAACCTAAGGCATTTGGAAGAGATCAACAAAAATACTCAATTGACTTAGGTTTCGTGATACATAGGAAGCATGTTGGAAAGCTTATCAGGACTGACAATTGTCATGGAACTCGAAGTAATGTTATATAGTAACACAGTCAGAGACTTCATCATAGTTACTCAGGTCACTTAGATATTCCTCGATAAGACCTTTAGAGGCTAAGTAAGTGCTGTTAACATTTAGCCCAATCTATATCCATTGGGAACACTGATAAACATCTACAAAACTGAAGGAGTGTGTATTACACTATGATTAAACGATTACTTATTATATTTGAAAATTATATGTATTCCAACGTTTCATCCAGACAAGTTTGTCAGACGAAACGTTGGAATTATTTAAATTTTGATTACATATAATGTCTTCTCTATACTCGGCACCCAATTTTTGTCAAACTATTCGTTCTAATATTGACGAAGATTTGTATATATTACTTATTCTGTTACTCGATTTAGCATGCTCCAAAAAGTTCAGAGAAGTCGGAAATTACCAGCAAACCTAGAAATACTGCTCTTTTCCGTATGCCAACCAACGTTAAAATGAAGCTTTGATTCTTACTGCAGGCCTTTTTTTCCACCGTTCGGAGCCCAAATACAGGATTATGGGGATCTGGAAAACGACTAGGAAGCCAGTATCAAGCGTTCGATAAGTAGACCGATCAGTATCATATTTGTTTAATCCTTAGTAATGATCGTGAAATTCCAATTGTCGTCAGCTAACTTAGCAGTTTATATTTACCATAGCAATGACAAACAGGAAACGGTCTTACAATTCACCGTCGTCCTACCATCCACACTAACAATGTCTCTATCCATTATACTACTGAACTAGCAATAAGCGAAAATCGTTGAAAACTACCCTCCGTTACATCTGGGAAGATACTTAAGAATCTAAATGGAGTCATTCACATATATTATTTATAAGAAATAACGAGTACTGACTGATGTGTAAATGGACGATACTAATCATACTATTCCTAAAAATATTAAGAGATTAACGTTGGATTTTCTAAATATTACACAATCACCTGATAATTCCGATATCCAATCATAAAATACTTAATCATGATCCTTGTGATATTCAGCTATTTTTGTAAATGCATGTGATGTTTTTCGGAGTTTTAAAAAAGGAAGCAACAACCACTTAATTGGTATCTAAGTGATGGATACATTTTTACCTTATATGTCACACGAACTGTTACCAGTAGCGATAGGTATTACTAACCTGGCCATCTGTGTTGCCTTATCTTACCTGTTTCAAATTAAGGTTTGAGAAAATGGAGACAATACACAACTAGGTACGGATTTGCTTTATTTTGTCGATGTAATTAGAAACTATCTCACACTACACTGGTGAAATTCGAATAAAGGAAACTTCATTTATAAATCTACTACCACTTAAATATTCCAAATATGACTTAATATCAATCAATTCTTCCAAAATCTGCATATTTTCTGGTTGTGCATAACATCCTGTTTTGTTCGAAACCAAGCGTTATTCACTTAATTTAAGTCAGCCAGTCGTAAACAACGTAGAAATTGGAATACAAATGCATTGGTCAGAGTTCCAATACCAAATTAGTATAGTGAGATGAAATTATGAAGACAAATAACGAAGCGATTGAAGCAGTATCAGTGATAGTAAAAAAACTTTAAGAATAAAGAATATGGTTCTAGAAAAAATAACGAATTCGCGAGACAGAAAGTACGAAAAAACTATGAAACCCAAGATCTAGGAGAAGATGAAGAGTAGATGTATAAGTACCATTGCAACTGATTTTGAGCCATTTCATCAATATTCAAATGTTGGTAACAAGGATCCCATGGAACCCCGCCAGATAATCCATATTTGCAAACATGGGTCGGAACAGTCAATGCCTTCATGGACTGATGCCAAGTCTCAGTTCGGCCGCCTCTAGTTTTCTTCCATCATCAATCAACATAGTGCGTCAAGGTAAGTGGTGATTGGGCTCACATAACACATGTCGCAACCACTTCAGTTGATGAATATTTAGTCTTTATCAACCAAGACGTCATCTTCCCGTAGTATAACGCGTACGACCTCAGTACAAAACACTCGGTCGTTTCATAACATCCAAGCATTACTTCGAAGACATCCCTGTTCAAAGGGCTGCGGCCTACGCATATCCTCTACTTGTATAGACTATGTTTTACAAACAGTCATACAGAATGGACTGCTGTGCAGTTAGTTATTGAAATAAGATCGACACGAGAGCTTAAAAGTTAGACAACAAGTAATTGTTTCACTGTCAGATTCTAAATAGGAAGATCTGCTACACCTAATTACATCGGTGTACAAATCCAATAGTCACAAAACTTCCCAGAAATCCATTTCAAGAGTGACCTAAAAAGCAATCGGGAGAGTAAAGTTTGAAAGTAAACATTCAAGAATCACATCACAGACGGAAAATTACTCCACACTGATGAACATGTTTTTAGATAACTGGTTGTCTCCTCAAAGGCTTGCTGATGATAGCGTTTATAACCCCAACAGGTCCGCAATTAATATTCATCCAGTATATACACTACAGAACAATCTAAGAGATTCACCTTTGAGATACTGACAAAGTTTATCCATCATCTTAGCAGCACAACATCGACAAAATACAAAATCTTTAGAAAACATATAACAAGTATGACTTAACTAAGATGTCACCCAATCAAATCAAATTCAACACAAATGTGATTAGATAATTATTCGGCATAGGTTTGTTTTTGTGACCTTATTTTCAGTTTACAACATTGATTAATCACAGTTAAAAAAACCATGAAGCGCTGGACAACTGTTTCGTTCTATCATGCGACTCCTAAACAGTACGCATCTATGACCACATCGGGCATTGAACCAAGAACTTTTAGATTTCCAGTGAATCCCTAACCATTAGACCAATGAGTAGGCATTCAGTGGTGTACAAGTCTAACTTCGACCAAATGGCAAAATTGCTCTACCCTATATGATACCTTCAAGTATTCACTTAAAACAGTTCAGATTAAACGACTGGGTGATTTTTTCACAAGCACGCTTTCATGACTTAATAAAACACAGTTTAGATCTAACTGTAAGCAATAACTATTTTCTATAAAAATGGCAAGATAAATAATTAGAACAATAATTATACTACTAACTAATAACAATTATTATCATTATTATTTAAACAAACATGAAGAAAGAAAACAAAAACAAAGAGTATTCTACACTTTTCCGTATATTTATATTTAACAATTACAAAAATTGAATTAGAGAGAAATAAAAAAAGACAATTCGATAAAGTATCATTAATTACCGCCGGTCCCAAGCCCGGGTAAAGGAGGAGGGTTGAGAATAGAATTAGCGACCCTATCCCATAGAAAATTAACTCGCTAAACAAAAACGCTAACCATCGATTATTAGTAGCTCATAACTTAATGCAACCAATAATAAAACAAAAAATAATGAAGTGTAGTAAATCAATTTTGAATCTTGTTTTGTATTAAATTACAAAAGTTAAAAAGATTAATAAAAGAGAATGAAATTCCTTTTCCCAGAAACAAGAAACAATGATAAACTCTCATATATCTGTATACATTTATATGTTAAGAGATATGTGTATGTCTCTTTCATTATTTCATTGTGAAAACTTTATTCATGGAGTACTTTGTTTTTTTAGTAAAATACTTGAAATATAAAAGAGAAGTACATTAGTATATCAGGAAGAAAAATTCTACTGGATTTGACCGAAAAATGTACCTCTTTGTATCATTCATGAATGTATCAACAAACAATACACACAAAACACACAACAACAACAACAATGAAATCAATCTTCTTGGTAGCTCAAAGTGAAAACTACTCAAATAGAAACTACAGTATGAAGGTTTATTCAATATCTTACAAATAATAATAATAATAATAATCTGTTCGCTTATACATTGGACAAATGTTCCCAACTACATAAGAAAGAATTGTCAATTATTGATTTATTTGTTATAAATTAATATGTTTGGCTTTTGACAAGCAATTGATGGTTTACCATGTAATACTTTAGCACGATCCATAAAAGCATTCACCATAACAGTGACAACTTGATCAAAAAATAATCCAGCAATTTTTGAATAAATAGGAGAACGAAACTCGAAATCAACCTGGGGGGAAAAAAATTATTTTTACAAGAATAAAACTGGTATTATTTATTTATTAATCATTCAGCATGAAACAAAATATTTATGTATTCAAAAAGATAATGAATGTAAAAATGATCATGATCAAGCATAGAATATTGTTGTATCCCGATAAGAATAATGAATGGTAATTTTTGGGATCCATTTATGAACCAATATTATGAGTATATTTTTATCGTATAATTGTTGAGTAAATAAATTGTTCATATTCATGCCCCTCTCATTATGAGCTTTATTTTGACCTATGAACTATTATTATACGATTTACCATTCATGAATTATTCCGTCTGTTAATTACTACCTCCCTCATTCACAGCCACATCTGGCTAATTCTTGTACAAATGTTGTTTCATATTTTATTGGTACGATGTGGTCGGTTTGTTTGGTATATAAACTCAGTATGCTTGAAATATAATGATTCATATCTCTGAGGCTGAGATTTGCGTTGTGGACTAAACAGACTGGGCTAGACAGGAGAGCAGGACCAACCAGGACTCTATGTTGCTCACAAGTGTTTTAAGAGTCCTTGGTCCGATCGATAATTCGCTGCTTTCTAATAGGCGGTATCATTGTGTTATACAATAAACAGGGCACACGGATTCACAAGTTATAACAAATATAGACGCTGAACTTTTCACATGATTCGTATATAATTGACTCATGTTATTCCATTTACTAAAGTCAGCATCTAAATATGATTGGATTAACACAGTAAAGATTTGATATGGATTGTTAAACACTGTATATTTACTTGATGATTTTGAAAAAGTCCAGACAAATTTGTTGGATGAAACATTGGAATTATTTTAAATTTCAATCGCTGAGATTATTTATGAATTCTTTATGTCCATTCTCATTTTTTCTCTTTCCAAATTTATTTCACTGTATTATACTCCTTAAATAACATCTCCAAACACTAATCTTTCCGATTACTGTTTATACTCTTACTACCTCTACTAATACGGGATTTGAATCGACAACTGCAACTCTGTGCTAATGTGATATGGCAACTCGAACTGATGTACGTACGTACGTACGAAGTTCTACGTTGTTACTGACTGACTGAGATTATTTCAAACATAATTTTCACATATAATGACTTTTCTATATTGGGCGCCTAATTTTTGTCAAACTATTCGTTCTAATATTGACAAATATTCGTATAAGTTGAATTACAATAATTGTCAAATAGAAGAGAGGACGTTTAGAATAAATAACACCCAATAAATCATAAGTCTGTTATTAATTTTATCCCCTGAATTCTGTCCTTGTACTACTATGGTTACAGTAATTAATTATTACAATCCACTAACGAAGTATAGGAGAAGTGGTTGAATACTTAAACTATTCAGACTCCCATTAATATGTTCCAAGCTTTAAATTACTATAGATTAAGTTGGATAGTAGTATTACGACAGCTCACAACAACATTGTAATTCAGAGCTACACATATAAATTTGTACTTTCTAAAAAGGGATATATTTTGTTTGTTTGAAATTCAGTCACATTTGATTTGTATATGGATTAGTACTACTATTTGTCATTTAAAACTGGGCAGGGTTTTAACCTGCAAATGAATAATCGGAAGTTGAACGTTTTAACGGCTAACCCATTAGGTAACTGAATATAGACTGTGATTAATCCAACTGTTGATTAGACATATATATGGATAGACCAACAGAGTCCTAGAATGCGAAGTGGAATCTATGTAGGACTAGACAGGTCGGAAAACCCATACATAACATTTCGACATTGTCAAACTACAAGCTAATAAGATAGGAGACTTTTAAGACAGCTCTTATGTCTCAGGAAAAAGCAATCATAGAAATAAACATCACAGTATATATGGTACCGTATAGGACAACTAATAAGAACAAATGTAAACTACATGGTTGGTACATTATGAATGTCATAATAGGTCAAGGCATGAAAGGTTCGTACAACAATGATTGCGGTGACTACTGAAAACACATCACAATCATACTGATTTCGGTTGATAGTAACGAGAAGAATGGAACTTTCCTGTGTAAAACAATCAAGAATTGTACAGATATTGTAAAATTCGGGTTATATGGTTTAATAAATTCTATGTGGTTAGTTTAAATATGCAAGAGCAACTCGCATACGTAACTCAACATAATGTATGAACGAGAGGTTATTCATAAGGTTGTCTCTACTCTCTAAGTAATATAGAGTTGTCATTCAAACGAAGCGTTCAACAATGAACCAAAGAGGAAAACAAGAGAGATTCGTAAATTTACCAATTACGATGCATTGGCGTTAACTGTAATTTTGATATCTTCAATGTCAACCAGTTACTGGAAAATCTTCATTAAGCCGAAAGTTGTGATTTTAATCAACTGATTCACCACATTCCTGGGTATGACCCAAACTAAGTGCGGGGGTTAGTGATACTACTTACGTGATAAAATTGAAAATACATGATGGCATTTGATAGCTAATTAGTGTTCATACGGTCAAAGATTAGCAGTCTACTTTGTCTGATCTAGCGTTTCTCAGAGTTGGAACAGTTTATTTTATAGATGATATTTCACTTTTTCTTTCCTTTTTGTCATTTTATCGTTTGGTTTTCATAAGGTTAATTGATATGATTTTGTTGGCCTATATGCTACAATTATTGTAAATGGCCTCAGAAATCTTGTTGTAATTGGTTATATGTTCTTTATATCTAGTAGGATGGTCAATTTGCTGGGTTGTCGGTGGAAACCAAGCCTATTGTAGCACATAAACCAACAAAATCATATCAATTAACCTTATGAAAACCAAACGATAAAATGACAAAAAGGAAAGAAAAAGTGAAATATCATCTATAAAATAAACTGTTCCAACTCTGAGAAACGCTAGATCAGACAAAGTAGACTCTGCTAATCTTTGACCGTATGAACACTAACTAGCTGGCAAATGTCATCACTTATTGCTGCTTATATGAATATATATAGACAATTTCAACCAGCAATCAACGCATCGAAATCGATCTAATTTCCCAACCAATTGAAAAATTACGGACAAAAATAGGATTTACAACCAGGTCGAAGAGGGAAGCAATCAAAATGGATATGCAAACAATAGGTTAAAGGTCAACAATAATTAACATTACAAATTGTCAGTAATATGTAGAAAAATTCGAATACTTCACTTCTAACTGAAGTTTGTGCTGATGATGTTCAGAAAAACAATGAAAGTGCCATGATCAAACCTTCCAGCCCAGAGAACGAAACTCCGCCAAAATCAAATTGTACTAGCCAGATAAAAAAGGTTGGCGAAAAAAAATACTAATGTCGTAATAAAAGGATGCACTCAATATTTAATCATTAAACCATTTACTGCTGAAAATTAAAAGAAACCTTGATCAATAAACTAATAATTACTTCAAATCCGATCAACTTACAGAAAACTCTACAAAACAAGAATTCGGATTCTCTGGGAGACCTGGATGAAAATGCCATTCATTAATTAAATGATGAAACATTCCAGCATTTTGTGCGACAGACTTAAAAATAAATAGAAAGGAGAACAGTAGTTGATTTACGCTATGCGTTCATCGTAATAAAAACATTTCAAATTATTTTTAAAAGTAATCAAGAACTGTAGTGAACGAGAATTCAGTTGGGGAAAACTAATATATTGTTTAGTGTAAGACTAGAGTGCTGTAGTAAGATACAAAAACCATACATTAAAAACATTATTTCTACACTTTTCTTCAGTTGTCCTTTACAATTCTGTTATTACAATTGGTCTGTTTACCTTGCTGTTCTCTTCAATTCAACCTTCTGTTAGCGGGCATCCCACTTCCGATTGCTATTACATACTATTTATATCTGCAACATAAGTAGGATACATTACAGAACAACTAAGTGAACAGGATGAAATGAATTCACACAATTGACTAGTCGCTGAGTAATGACTAAGATCAAGACTTATAGTCCTTCATAGTGTTGCTAAGATCCCATCGATCAAGTCCCAATGTTGCCACTAGCCTAAGTGACTCGATATTGCATACATTATGTTTAGATGTTAGGTGGTTAGGTCGTGGTTCGGATAGCTTAATAGTAACGTCTCATACTGTGGCAGATTGACCGAATTCCCAAAACTTGTCGCAACTCTAAAGTAAGCACTAAAGATGCATTAGATTAAGGACTTTCTAGAAATCTTGGATGGTTTGCATACATCCCATTCATATTTTTCTAATGACTTCTATCCTAAGTATTATTTATCAACTCACGTAATGGATGAGAAACCTGGAGGTGAATAATGTAGACATGGCTTGCTGGAATGAAGAATGGTTAAGTTACATTAGTATATGTCTGACAGTGACGACTACTCTAATGAAGTGCTAGTGACTGTACAACCGAAGGGCCTGATACGACATCACACAGCTCAGAATAGAATCTCATGGGAATCTTGTTGCAGTTTTAAATCATATTCTTCCTAAACAGATGTTTTTGGACCAAAAATAAATACCATTTCGTAATGTTCATACTTAGACTGCATTCTTTAATACCCTCTATTTATATTTTCCATGATATTACCACAAGTTATTCTAAAATCAAGCAAACAAAAAGTAACAGACACCCTTACTTACTAACTTATTCCTGTTACCCCTCGTGAAGAAGCATAGGCCATCCACCAGCATTCTGCATCCAACTCGATCCTGATCAATCCTTTCCGGTTACTATCCTTCCTTTTCATATCTGCTTCCAATTCTCGAAACAGTATGTCTTTTAGTCTTTCAATTTTCCGTTCCCCTTCAGGATTCCGAGTTAAAACTTGCTTCGTGATACAGTTTGATGATTTCCTCAATGTGTATCCTACCCACTTCCAGCATCTTTTCCTAATTTCCTCTTCAGATGGAAGCTGGTTTGTTCTTTCTCATGGTATCTGGTCAACGGACATTGAATATCTGATGTAGATGATTGTTCATAAATACCTGTACCTTTTTGATGATAGTCGTGGTAGTTCTCCAAGTTTCAGCTCCGTACAACATAACTGTCCTGACGTTCGTATTGAAGATTGTGACTTTGATATTGGTTGACAGACAGTTGTTTGGAGTTCCATGTGTTCTTCAATTGTAGGAATGCGACTCTTGCTTTGTCAATCCTCGCCTTTCCGTCTGCATCGAATTCTCCTCATTCATGAATGATGCTTCCCAGATGCGTGGAAGTTTCCACCTCTTCCAGAGCTTCTCCATCAAGTGTGATTTGGTCGTATTGTATTTGAGGATCTTGCTTTTTCCGTTGTGTATGTTGATGCCTACTGAGGCAGAGGCTGCTGCAACACTGCTTGTCTTAACCTGCATTTGCTGATGTGTATGGGATAGAAGGAGTAGATCCGAGTCGTATAGTTGCATCCAAGCTCTATCGATTGTATTCCGTGCTTCTCCTCAGATGTCGAGGTCGTCATAATCCAGTCAACCATCGCCTGTAGCGCTTCTCGGGTTACTGCCGGTCCTAAGCCCGAGTAAAGAGGGAGGGTTGGGCATAGAGTCAGCAACCCCATCCCGTGGAAAACAACCGTGCTGAAAAACGGCAACTAGAATAAACAAGTTAAACCGTCTAAACTCTGCCCTCAGTTGGACAATCTTCATTTGGAACGAACACCCTACACTTTATATTCCTCATATTCATTCATGGACAACAATGAACAAACACATAAATATTCACTCACCTTTAAGTGTTTCGGTCGCTGAAATGTTATTCGAGACATGTATGATTCACTAAGTGGAGGAAATCCAACACCCAGACAAGCTAGCATGTTATTTTCACCTTGTTCCAAAACAGTTGATTGGTTACACCAAGGTATAAATTCTGAATAACGACCAACGTCAATTGCAATATCAAACATGTTTTCCGGAGAATAACTGGAAATAATTTTTTACCGAGACAAAACATATGGTGATAATGAAGTTTTAGATATAAATGATGCAAAAATGACAATAATCTAGTCTGTACAATACAACGAAAACAAACAGAGTGATTTACTTGAGAAATAAATGGTACAATCAGTGTGGTAATTTTGCCTACAAATTGTTATACAAAAATAATTAACAAGAGAGCATTTCTTTCTGAGTGTCATGTTCATCAAATAACAGTCAGATATTGCATAATCCAGTCGAACATCAGAAGAAAGAGAGAGGGGGAGAGTAAGCAGTCATGTTTAATTCCGTTCCTCACCTGGGATGCGTCTGTCAGCTGTTCTCCACCCACGAATTTGCACTTTAATCCGTCGTACGAAAGCGAATCTCTGGAGCTTTACCCTGGTTGATAGATAGGGAGGACCCATCTAGAGGAGTTGGAAAACCCTGATTTCAAACCAATGGTTCACATGGGCTCCAGGATCCCGAGGGATGAAATGGCGCATGAACCTATTGTTGGACACCGGTTACCATGGGACTGTATCTCCTTACGTTGCTCTACTGTCTTGTGGATTAAACCTCTAGGTCAAAGGCTCGGGTAGTGGCCTCCTAAGAAAACCAGTTGCCTCAGTTTGGGCACCCTGACCATATTCAAGCCCTCACACAAATCAAAGTATTCGTGTGGCGCATATATATTTGATACCTCCTCGTACCAATGTTTACATGTTTAAGTAAATAAATAAACAGATCTTGCAGGTTAACTGACAAAATTCTGTTGCATGTAAAAAATCCTGTGGTAACCAAACTTTACTTTTCATTTTGCACTAGAAAACTACTGGAGTCCACAAAAAGAATAAACTAGAAGATTATCCTACTTGACTCTTAACATGCCCGAACAAACAAGCAAAATGCAACGGCAAATGAGAAAAGTTAGTCTGCAATTACTTGATAAAAGATAAGGGAACATAACCTAGTCACTGATAAGTAATATAGCTACGACGTAAAAGTTTCACTCTAGTCTAGTTAGAAATGTGAGTCTATACGTTAGTATTACCTACTACGGGATTCTACTGTCAGTGAAAAATGCTTCAAAAACAAATAATATCAACATATGTATGTCTTTAATACTTCTAGGTAATTTCATCTGTTGATGCGCGGGATACCTGGCTTTTTGGAAATCGATTTCCTAATCAATCCACTTGAGCTGACGAGTTTATTTTAGATAATAGCGATCATAATCAGGCCCAAAAAACAACCTCCACTGCGCCGCACATATTACGTTATTGGACAAAACAAAACGTATGGTTATAAGTATTTACTGACTGCAATATATACTGTGAAATGACTTTATAGAATGTAATTAATTAACTTCAGAAATACCGATTGTTTCTATCAATACAATCAACTTTTTAAAAAAAATAGCTGTGGAACTAACCCTAACAGTCTTCTTTCTTTGTAAGATTGTGATTTTTTGGTAAACGTAGGACCAAAACTGAAGATCTCACGCTTGAATACAATTGGAAGATTTGACGTAATCAAACAAGGGTATTTTGGACATATATTCAAAATTTTTAAGCAAATCATCGGAAATAAAGGATCACTACGTTTGGTTATATCACCCACAGTAGCACCCTATACATTTAAAAACATAGAATAATTAAAACGATAGATGTATTGTTATGATTTGAAAGCCATCCGAAAATTCTGCTTAAGTACATCGTCCCCAACATAAACTAAAGACGTTAATCACCCAACAAATACTCGCTTATTATAGACTGTTAGACTTTGGCATTTACCTCAACAAGTTCATTTCGCTGTGCTAAAACAGCACAAAAACTTGAACCGATGCATATCTGCGGCAGGTCCTACGTTGCTAATAAATGAATGACTGATACAAGATTTTTTATGAGCTCGTGGATAGGGTATAGTTACCACAATTAAACTCGTTTAGAAGAAAAGGTCTTAGAAAGAGAAAAATGCGGAAGGAGAAATGGATGAATGTCAACCACAAATTAAGTTGAATTCCACAAATATGGTAACAGTACCTAGTGGCAATGAATACTTAGGCAAGTTTAAAAACAAACTTCCTGAACATTCTAAATGATAGATAATGGTAAGGTTATTACACATGACTTTCAAGATTGAAAAGCTTTCTAAAGCAGTGATCGACACAGTTCCAATACCTTTAGTGAACCTGGCTATAGTTTGTATGCTAAATACCTTGGTAAACCAAATGCTGATGAACCAGCCAATACAGAAGATAGACAAAAATACCAACTACTACTAGACTGAGGAAAAGTTAACTATTTTCCTATGTTGAAAAAAATAGTGTGTCCCTGTCCATAACGATAGATTGACTGGCAATCACGAAAATATTTCTCGACTTTTGTGACGGAAATGACTGTAATTACAGTTAGTTGAATACAAGCACAATCTATACGTATAGACTAGTAAAGTTGTTAGTCTGGAACTAATAAGATAGAGTTCAAAAGATTTCTTTCTACACTAAATTATCAATTGCGGGACACTGTAATCAGGAGTTAAGGTTTAAACCATTAAATGTAGTTTGAAGATGTCGACCAGAAACTAGGCACAAATACGCACCAGCTCGAAAATAATGGCAAAGAAACTAGAACAATACCACTGCATGAGTTTATTGTTTTCAAGAGAACTGGCAGTGGACAAGTCATGTAAGATCTATGAACTTAAATAAAGAGCGAAATGGCATTCAAATTACAAGAGTATAAATCTTACCCCATACAACGGAAGTCCTAGCAACAACAACTAGAAGCAACTCAAAACATCATCAGGGCAAGGTTTAAACGTTAGGTCCTTTTGAAATGTGCCCGCCCTTTCGTTTCAACGACCTTGAACGGCTTGACTAGAGGCGGTCATTCCGTATTTCAATTGCCGTGGGTTGGTTGGATTGCATGAGTACCAAGTTTTTTCATATATAAGTCATGTTATGCTACATAAAAAAGCACGAAATAAATACCAAAACCATTAATTTAGCGTTCTCTGTTTTGTAGTGTACACGTTGGCTCTGTTGTTGCTTTGTAATTTGATCTTTGATCCCAACAACTGTAGTAAAGCTCAACGAAATGTCAAGTCACAGGTAAATCCTAAGTATTTGTAGTATTTTCTTGGGTTATTATTGTCGCAAGGAATAACCTTTTAATAATTAGTCATTTCTGTTTTTAGTGCTTCATGCTCAAGTGACATTTCAGTCGACCTAACCGATGCCTTTCGAAGTATGATACTGAACAAGCGTTTCGTCTTGTGGGATGATTTTGAAAGCGCCTTAAAAGAGTTCCAAAAAGTATGGAATTATAGTTTTATCGCTTCTCAGACTACTTATACTCGTTACATCCACACAGAGAGCAGATTGCTGAAGGATGTCAGGTTCAAATACCTGTTTGTATCGTTTAATTGTACGTTTGGTCATAAGAGGAAATCGGAAGGTTTGAAAGTGAGGCAAAAATCGTAAGATCTGTAACTAATATCTTATGTTTAAGGTCTAAATTCCGTAATTGTCAATCTAAATTTCGTGTAAGACTAGAGGAGCAAGGATATGTCATCAAATCCTACAACATGCTCCACAATCATCCATGTAGTAGTTCATGGATGGTATGTGATCCATTGACAAGGAGATTATCGTCAGAAGAAAAAGAGAACTTGAAGCCCGTAATACTTCACTGTGAGTTGTTGTACTCGGAACCAGGTAATGGATATGCTTAGACAGAGAGGCGAAGTGAAGGAACATTTAGAAAATGGATATGCCACTAGAATATGTTTCAGTAGTTCTAACCAAATACAACTGTACAGAAAATATCCAGAAGTTGTGTGCATTGATTCTACGTATAATACTAATAATAAAAAGTGAATATGTTTATCGTTGTATTTTACTATGTAGATATTCCTTATTCCAGTTAGTAGTGACGGATAATTGCGGTCGAGGTCGAACTGTAATGTTTGCATGGACTCTAAGGGAAAAGCGTGCTGATGTTATATGGATTCTAGATCAATTCAAAGAGATAATGGGGGATACAATGTTGACTGAAACATTTGTGATGGACTGCGCAAGATGTGAAAGCGCGGCTGTCCGTATGACACACGGACATGCAAACATAATTTTGTGCGCCTTTCATGTAATTCGCGCTTTCCGGAAAAAGGTACACCAATGGTTACTTATATAATATTGCCCTTAGACAAACGACAAAATAATTAAAGCCTACTTAACTCGATTGGTAACTGCGGAGACGGTTGGAAGGTAATTTTAGTAATGTGTTTATTCAATAGATTTAATCAATATTACAGAATAATAAATCGGCGGGACAGATTGATAGGTCAGTACCTGTCACGTTTTTGGATGGCACGTAAGACGATGTGGGCGCGTGCCTTTTACGGTCATGTTTTAACATTCGGTAACAGCACGAATAATCGTGTTGAATCGCTGAATAGACAAATTAAACGATATGTACGCAAAAGTGATAGTCTGTACAAGTGTATGTACAAGGCTTTAAGATGGAGTGATTTGACGTCAGCTAGAAGAAGCATCGAAGATCAAGTGATAGCCGCAAGATCTTATAAATATAATGCTCCACAGCGTTTTACACCCCTGCTAAATATTTTGACCCCATTCACTAGATCTAAATTGTTATACGAACTTAAGCAAATGCGTTTTGTCTACGTCGAATATGAAAGCGGTGATTGGTTGTTTATGGTTGATCGCGGACAACATTATGAAGTTGATATAAGCATTTGTCAATGCAATTGTAGCACGTTTATGATGTGCCGATATCCCTGCCGTCACATGCTACTTGCATACGTTAAAAGACGAAATCTTACAGGTAAGCTATATCAATTATGAAATACTAACTGCATAGCTCATCAACTTCTTAGGTATTGTAGCAGATGGAAGTTACATAATACCCAGAACTTCCAAAATTATACATTAACTGGATTAACACGACGGAGTGAAGTGTATATAAGTATTCAACGAAGTCAAAGAATCCATAAGCAACGCATCATTGAGAAGTATGGTGAACGTTTTGCAACGGAAGTTGAGAAGAAGGTGGACAATTATTACTTAAGAATTCTTAATACCAACTTGTAAACTTGATTTTTTGCTTTAGCATCAATGATTATTCAATAAACTGTCATAATTTTTATTTTCATCTTATTCCTAGTTTCATGGGAATAAATAGCAATGACGTTCATGTGTAACTGTTTGTAATAATTAAGAATGATTCAGAAACCCTACATCCACGTACAATCTTGCAGATTAGGCACCCACATATCATATTCACCTTCGTCGGATTACGTTTATAATTAAAATCGTATCAGTAGCTAAGATTTTAATTCCATGTGATTAGTTCCGCTTATGAATTAAAATGAAACCAGGATAAATGTTGATTAACAGTGGTATGCATTCGTTATAACTAAATATGCATTAGGATTTAACAGTGATGTGGGAAACAGTTGACATACCTTAATATGAATAATTGAAATGACGTGGGTTATCAATAATGACTAGATATATATATATATATATATATATATATATGCAGTTTAAGGTCAAAGGTCATTTGTTTTTACAGTCAATAACACATTAAGAATGGGTGGTGTAATAGTTGACTGGAGTTCACAGACAGATAAGTGGTGTGAAAATCTTATGGCCTATAAGTGATCCGTGGATTTAAGAACTGAAAACTTGGGCCACGTAATAACTTATTACAATTTGAAGAGGTCACATAATTACAGAGGATTAAGTGAGCAGATGTAAGTGACAGGGTGCTGGAATAAATCGGCAACTAAATTTTAAAAGTGAAATGAATTAATACATAATCCATCTTATTACTTGTTCACTCCATGGATTATAAGGAGTTCATATTCTTCTATATCTATATTTGTTCTAGCGTCATATCGACTATTAATAAAGACGGACACGGTTTATAAAGTAAGACAATAAGTGTAGTTGCTATATTTATATTTCACTAATTCATTAGTTGAATAAAAATGTTACTAGGCAATACGGAACACAGTTAACGTGAACATGTAAACCGTTTTTTAACAAATTCTGTAAGTTGTAGACCGGCGTAAACATCACAAACCTTTGACGACTTTATTGGATTCATACAATTCTGAAAAACAAACAAATCAGTTGTGAAATAAAGAATTAGACCCAGTTATAAGTATCACATTCAATAAGTACATCAAATAGCAGGTTACAGAATGTACCTATAAGTCTCTTATTTGCAGACAGCGCTAATCATTAGAGATTTCTATTTCCTTTAATAATAATTAATAGGTAATCTTTACAACACACAAATCAATGTTATTTAAAAATTGGCATAAACGAGATATGAATACAAGGAACTTGTGATTCTGCTTCCATTGCTCATTCACTTTTCGTCCCGTTGTCTGCATGAATTACTTCGGACGAGTCACTCTGTAATACAGTAGGAATTCATTAATTAACTCATGAATAGTTGTTTTTTATTCAAGTCTGTGTCGTAACAAGCACTGGGAATTTATTCAGTGTCTAACCCTTGTATTATTTCGTACATACATCTGGTATTAGCAAGAAAAATTGGTAAGTACCATTTAGATATTACTCGACAATATGCATCATAAGTTTGTTCACATTTTCGTCTGAGACTGTGCATTTCGTTTACAGAAAATTATTCGTCAACGCTATAACAGACACATCATGAATCAATATTAGGTACGACATGGTTTTGTCACCATGCTCAGAAGAGACAGCCATCGTTTCACTTATGAAGATTTTGTGCCTATTTAATGTGGTGTTATACACTGTTCCTGTATACGTTCAGAAAGCCGGTAAAAAAGACTATCAACATCAATTCTTACTCACATAATTTTTCTCTGATACGTTACACAATAATATGTCACTTCAATACCAAACAATGCTACCTTTAGTGCAAATAACCTTTTATGGCTAAATACAAACAATTTATATAATATCCATAGTTAGTTTAATGCTTACTTCTTTCTGATAACATCGTATAAACGACTGCGAACATCTATGTTTGCTGTCACCATAATCAAGGAGGTGAACCATATATAATGCTTTTCACGGCTTATATTCATGAAAAGTCAATCTGTTTTCTATTTTTCACTAGAAAAATGGTGATTTGACTTGTTTGACCTTGTATTATTAAAAAATAACCATATTACGCCAACTGCAGGTTTACTTAGGTGGTGAGCACAAAATACGTCAAACTGCTTATAAATTGAAATAAATACTATCTTCCAATCACAAAGATTACGAGAAGTCACGTATGATGGAAAAAAGGCTGTTAATAGCTGATAAATAACGAAACATAAAATCCACGACAATATGTTACATGTGCGCGAAAACCCGTAAACTAACACACATAGTGTGCCCATCATCAGAAACCCATCCTCCAAATAACCCGCTGTAAGTACTAAAACATTATTGGACAGAAGTAAGCAATCAATGATTCTCTATTACCTGCTTATTAGTAGGACAGGATTAATGAATAGAGAAGAACATAATTCCGGTGACGGTCTGTTGGAAATTTCATAATCGCACACAATAAATAACATGTGCATTATACATCGTCGCTCACTACTTTAGCTCAAATGGTTCAAATGGTTGTGAACGGAATAGAAGAGGCTTTAGCTTAATAGGCTTCCATGTCTAGTAGCAGCGGATCACCGATACCTCCAGAGAGGAACCTAGGTATATTAACGATAATAGAGGAAAAGTAAACTGGTAAATTATAGTAAGATATTATCCTTGGTCCATAAGAATAGGTCAAGC